TTAAAAGACGCCTGCTTCTTGGGAGAAAAGCAATGACAAGCCTAGACAGCATCTTAAAAAGCAGAGACATCACCTTGACAACAAAGGTCCGCATAGTTAAAGCTCTGGTTTTCCCAGTAGTGATGCATGGAAGTGAGAGCTGGACCATCAAGAAGGCTGATTGCTGAAGAATGGATGCTTTTGAATTAGAAGAAGAAGAAGAAGAGTTTGGATTTGATATTCCGTCTTTCACTCCCTTTAAGGAGTCTCAAAGCGGCTCACATTCTCCTTTCCCTTCCTCCCCCACAACAAACACTCTGTGAGGTGAGTGGGGCTGAGAGACTTCAGAGAAGTGTGACTGGCCCAAGGTCACCCAGCAGCTGCAGGTGGAGGAGCGGAGATGCGAACCCGGTTCCCCAGATTACGAGACTACCGCTCTTAACCACTACACCACACTGGCTCTCCAACACTGGAATTATGGTGTTAGAGGAGACTCTTGAGAGTCCCATGGACTGCAAGAAGATCCAACCTCTCCATTCTGAAGGAAATCAGCCCTGAGCGCTCACTGGAAGGCCAGATCCTGAAGCTGAGGCTCCAAGACTTTGGCCACCTCATGAGAAGAGAAGACTCCCTGGAAAAGACCCTGATGTTGGGGAAGATGGAGGGCACAAGGAGAAGGGGACGACAGAGGAGGAGATGGTGGGACAGTGTTCTCATAGCTACCAGCATGAGGGAGGCAGTGGGAGACAGGAGGGCCTGGCCTGCTCTGGTCCAGGGGGTCACGAAGAGTCGGACAACACTAAACAACAAGCAGTCTCTGCTCTTTTTGCCTTCCCTGGGAGGAAGGTGGAGTGGATGTCTGAAACTCAGTGTCAAACTGAAACTCAGTCCAGATAAGCCTGAGGCAGTTAGTGGGTGGTGCCCTAGACCAGATGGGTGGGAGAAGGCCTGCTCTTAAAAAAAATTAAATTGGTTTTACATAAAGTTATCCACAGTAACTGTAACCTTTCCAAAACATACAAAATATCAAGGTTCTTTCAAACCTTCAGACCTTCCCCCACATGGGTTCCAGTTCTAAAGATGTTATCTTTTCCCTTTTCCCTGCATCTTTTACCATTATCCATCTCTTATGTAACCATAGTAACCAAAGTTCAGTTCACATTGCAAGTGTCATTGCATCCCTGCCCGTGATTTTAACTGTCTACAGTATCTGTCAAGTATACTGTCAAGTATACAATAAAATTATTCCAGTCTTTTAAAAATACTTGTTCTTCCTGGTTTCTGATCTTTCCGCTTAGTCTCGCCATTTCTGCGCATTCCATCAGTTTGGTCTGCCGCTCTTCCTTAGTCGGTACTTCACCTTCTTTCCATCTCTGGGCCAAAAACATTCCCGTTGCCATCATTCCGTACGTAAACAGTCTCTTATTTCCTTTGGGAATTCATCACATATATTATATTATAAGAGAAAAGCCTCTGGTTTTCTGACAAAGGGTGAGGGGAGAGACTCCATCAGGCAAGGCCTCCTTCCACCTGCCTTGCCCACCCTCTGCTACTCAATGTGTTTTGTATTGTTTTGTCTACTGTGGCTTGCCGTTATAGTTTAGATATTATTGTAACTGTTGAGCGGATTTCTGTTTAACTTTTATATGTTATTATTATGTTATACTATTCTAATTAATGGTTGAATGTTGCTATTTTGATGTAGGATGCCCATTTTAAAGTTATGTTTTATTATCACATTTTTGTATTGCATTAGATTGTTAGAAGATGTACATTTTCTGTTTCTTCAGCTTGTAAACCGCCTTGAGTATTGTAAGATAGAAAGGCAGTATACAAATTAAAATTGATGATGTTGATGATGACAAAAGTTTTCTTAAACGCTTTCTTTAATTCAGTATATATCATTCCCCAGAACGCTTTTACCACTCCACAGGACCACCACACATGATAAAAGGTACCTTCTTTCCTTTTACATTTCCAGCACAAATTTGAGCTGGTTCCATACATTTTTGCAATTTTACTCAGTGTTAGGTACCAACAGTACATCATTTTCATATAGTTTTCTTTCAATGAACAGCAAGCCGTAAACTTCAAATCCTCTTTCTATGACTTTTCCCATGATAAAAATTGTATATTATAACCAAAGTCTCTTGCCCATCACAGAAGTAACTTCATCATTTTTAAAATAAAAAAATTCCTTCCAGTAGCACCTTAAAGACCAACTAAGTTAGTTCTTGGTATGAGCTTTCGTGTGCATGCACACTTCTTCAGATACCCTTTAAGGTGCTACTGGAAGGAATTATTTTGACTATGGCAGACCAACACGGCTACCTACCTGTAACTTCATCATTTTTAGTATACCATTCTAGGGAGATGGCCTGCTCTTGATGGGGTTACCCTTTCTCTGAAGGAGCGTGTTCATAGCTTGGGGGTCCTCCTGGATCATTTCCTGTCACTCCAGGCTCAGGTGGCCTCCGTGGCCCAGCGTGCCTTCCATCAGCTTCGGCTGGTGGCCCAACTACGCCCCCAGTCTGGACAGGGATCACCCAACTACTGTTGTCTATGCTCTGGAAACCTCAAGGTTAGATTACTGCAATGCGTTACACATTGGGCTGCCTCTGAAGACGGTTCGGAAACTTCAGCTGGTGCAGAATTCAGTGGCCAGGTTGCTCACCGGAGCAAGACGGTTTGAGCATATTGCACCAATCCTGGTCCGACTGCACTGGGTGCCCATTCAGTGTGCTGGTTTGACCTATAAAGCCTTAAACAGCTCAGGACCGCAATTCCTCAAGGACCGCCTCTCTCCCTATGAACCTCCCCGGACCCTGAGATCATCTTCTGAGGCCCTTCTTCGTGTCCCTCCTCCTTGAGAGGTCCGGAGGGTGGCAGCACAGGAACGGGGCCTTCTCTGCAGTGGCTCCCCATGTGAAGCATGCTCTCCCCAGGGAGGTTCCCCAAGCGCCTTTGTTACACACCTTTATGCACTGGGCAAAAATGTTCCTTTTTAACCAGGCCTTTGGTTGATTTGATTGACATCCTATGGCCTTTTAAAATGTGTTTGGGGGGAGGGTTTATCGGGTGGTGGTTGTTTTTATTTTGATTATTCTGCGGTTTTATATTCTGGTTTTATTTTGTGAATTGCCCTGAAAGCCTGCAGGCATAGGGTGGTATATAAATTTAATAAAGAAGTAAATGTCTCCTCCCAGGCTTGTTTCCCCCTCTGGATAAACAGCTCCTGCTGAAGTTGGAGAGGGGCAGCGAGAGCGGCAGTAGCAGACCCAGCACCCCCCTCTTGCGCCCCAGAGGCGCTTGCTCTAAAGGGGAAGGGGAGGCCAAGGCAGCCCCCCTTTTCCTGCTCACACCAACATGTGGACCTTCCCTTCCTCTGTTGGGTGAGGTAAGGGCCGCTGGACGGTCAAGTCCCATCAAAGGCGACTGGGGCGCAGAGCTCATCTCGCTTCGGGCTGAGGGAGCCCATGTTGGTCCGCAGACAGCTTTCCGGGTCATATGGGCAGCAGGACTGAACCGCTTCTGGTGCAACGGGACACCGTGAGAAGTGCCAGAGCGCACAGAAACACCACAGTGGTACCTATTTCTCTACTTGCGCTGGTGAGCTTTTGAACTGCTCGGTTGGCAGGAGCTGGGACAGAGCAAGGGGAGCTCAGTCATGGGGACTGGAAGCACAGACCTTCCGCTGGGCAGCCCAAGTCTCAGTGGCTTATAGACCACAGAACCCCCTGCGCCTCACGACCTTCCCTTTTTTTGCGGGAAATTCCCTTTTTCCAGCGCCATTTCCCGCTGCTATCCCGGATTGTTAGATCTCCCATAGACTGTCCCCGGGACAGGGGAGGCTGCTGATCCCTTCTTTTCAAATCTGAAAGTTGACAGCTATGGCAGGATCCTGGGCCGGATGGGTCCCCTTTAGCGCGAGGCACCTGCCTCAGAGCTCTTCTTGCATGGAGCCTCCATGGACAGAGCCAGTCTACCTTAGAGGGCCAAAGGCGCTCTCCTCCTGCTTGGGGGCACCTGGGTGCCACTGTGGGCGCAGGATCCTGGGCCGGATAGGTCCCCCTTGGCGCGATGCACCTTCCTCAGGGCTCTTCCTGCATGGAGCCTCCAGGGCCAGAGCCAGTCTACCTTAGAGGGCAAAAGGCGCTCTCCTCCTGCTTGGGGAGCCTGGGTGCCGGATTGTTAGATCTCCCATAGACTGTCCCCGGGACAGGGGAGGCTGCTGATCCCTCATTTTCAAATCTGAAAGTTGACAGCTATGGCAGGATCCTGGGCCGGATGGGTCCCCTTTGGCGCGATGCACCTGCCCCAGGGCTCTTCCTGCATGGAGCCTCCAGGGCCAGAGCCAGTCTATCTTAGAGCGGCAAAAGGCGCTCTCCTTCTGGGTGCCACTGTGGGCGCAGGATCCTGGGCCGGATGGGTCCCCCTTGGCGAGATGCACCTTCCTCAGAGCACTTCTTGCACGGAGCCTCCAGGGCCAGAGCCAGTCTACCTTAGCGGGCACAAGGCGCTCTCCTCCTGGGTGCCACTGTGGGCGCAGGATCCTGGGCCGGATGGGTCCCCTTTGGCTCCATGCACCTGCCTCAGGGCTCTTCCTGGTTTCTAAGGAGTCCTGCACGGAGCCTCCAGGGCCAGAGCCAGTCTACCTTAGCGGGCACAAGGCGCTCTCCTCCTGGGTGCCACTGTGGGCGCAGGATCCTGGGCCGGATGGGTCCCCTTTGGCTCCATGCACCTGCCTCAGGGCTCTTCCTGCATGGAGCCTCTATGGACAGAGCCAGTCTACCTTAGAGGGCCAAAGGCGCTCTCCTCCTGCATGGAGCCTCCCACTGCGATCCCGGATTCTTAGACCTCCCCTAGCCTGTCCCCGGGACCGGGGAGGCTGCTGCTCCCTTGTCCGCTCTGGCCCTGCCGGACTGGAGCCCTGGCCCCCGAGGCCGGACACTGCACCCCCTCCAGGCCCCCCCCCCGCCCTTTCTTCTGCCCTGCCCATCCCGGGGGGGGAGGGGGGCTCCTCTTTCTCCTTCTCGGCTCCCCCCAAAGGAGACCAGCTGGGCGCGCCAGGCTAGGCAAGGGTTAAGAGCAGCTGAGCCCCTTTCCTAGAGAGGACAGGAAGTGAGGGGGCGGGTCTTCCGTATCCCCTCCCTGGCCCCCCTCTTGTCTCCTCCGGTGAGTCTCCTCTCCCCCTCGGGGTCCCGGGATGCAGGGGGTCCTATGGGGGGGGGCTCCTGCAGGGAGGGGCAGGCAGGGCTTGGCAAAGGGGGGGCGAGGGGGTTTCTCCAGCTGGGGGTCCCAGACTACAACTCCCCTCATCCCTGAGCCCTGGCCTGGCTAGCGGGGGGTGATGGGAGTTGTAGTCCAGCCACATCTGGGGCCCCAGCTGGAGAAAGGCAGGTCCAGATGCTGGACTGAGGACCCCGCGGGGCCCTTCCAGCTCCGCCAGGAAACGGGAAACTGCAGCCCAGACCTCAATGCTCAGATCTGCCTCCCCCAGACTGAGGAGGAAGCCGAGGGGACTTGGAAGGGACCCAAAGGACATCTAGTCCTGTTCTTGAGTCTTTTAGTGGTGTCCGCCTCTTTGTGACCCCCTGGACCAGAGCACGCCAGGCCCTCCTGTCTTCCACTGCCTCCCTCATGCTGGTGGCTTCGAGAACACCGTCCCACCATCTCGTCCTCCGTCGTCCCCTTCTCCTTGTGCCCTCCATCTTTCCCAACATCAGGGTCTTTTCCAGGGAGTCTTCTCTTCTCATGAGGTGGCCAAAGTCTTGGAGCCTCAGCTTCAGGATCTGTCCCTCCAGTGAGCACTCCACAATGAAACGGAAAACTGCAGCCCAGACCTAAATCGCAGGTCTTTCCCCAAATGCTCAGATCTGCCTCCCCCAGACTGAAGAGGAAGCCTCTCACTTTTCTTTCCGGTTGGGACTGCCCGCATTTGGGCCTTCAATATTTCACCTTGAAGAAGCTCCCATTTCTTTCAGTATTTCAGAACATCGGATCTCACCCAGTATCTCCTTAAGTTTTTTTTTAATTGCCCGCCTTAAAGTGAATTCCTGACTACACTCAGCTTGCCTTTCCCTCTGTCTCAGGGGAGGACATGATCACTTTCTCCCAAGTTTCCCAGTACTTCCACTTGGTTGATCAGTTCCCATCTGTTGTTGAGGACTAGGTCCAAGACAGATGATCCCCTTCTTGTTTCTTCCACCTTCTGGGTCATGAAATTGTCAGTGAGGCAATTCTCCATGGTCGCTTTCCTTAGACCAGGGCTAGACGCTTCCTTCTCTTTCCTCTTCCTTTTTTCCTGTTAATGAAGGTTCAGAGTCAGGGCAGTGGTGCAGTAAAGCCCTGGTTCCTAGCAAGACTCAGCCACGCTTGCTCAGGAAACATTTCTCTTCTCCTGACCATGTATCAGTCTGATAACAGACCAATATGTTTGCTTTGTAGGATTTGCTAGCACCTCTAAATCGGACCATCAGAACTTGGCAGAAAACGAAAGGATTCCTTCGGATCTCTTGGAGGCTTCATGAGAGCCCAGATGGATGAGCAAGACTCAGCTGGCCCTGAAGCAGGAGGAGGCCCTGCCCTCCAAACTGGGAGCAGCGGGAGATTATGGGAAAACTCAGTGCAGAAGATCCCGGGTGAGGAGGACACCCTCTGCTCAGAGGTGCAGAGCCAGCAGTTGACGCAGTTCTGCTCTCAGGAGGCCAAAGGACCCCGAGAGGCTTGCGGCCGACTCCACCACCTTGACTGTCAGTGGCTGAAGCCAGAAAGTCATACGAAAGCTCAGATGCTGGACCTGGTGATCTTGGAGCAGTTCCTGGCTGTCCTTCCGCTGGAGATGGAGAGCTGGGTGAGGGAATGTGGAGCAGAGACCAGTTCCCAGGCTGTAGCCCTGGCCGAAGGTTTCCTCCTGAGTCAGGCAGAGGAGAGAAAGCAGGCAGAGCAGCAGGTGAGAGAGACTTTCCTCTGGAAACTCCCAAGGGGCTCCAAGCAAGACAGGGAGCCTTCCAAGATGCTCTCCTAACGGCTCGTCCTCTTTGGAGAAGCAAGGGATGAGATCTGATCCCCTAAAGTGTTTGCTCCAATCATTCCTTTTCTAATCCTTCTCCCCATTCTCTGTTTTGAACCATTGTCACTCTTTCAGGAAAAGGATCTCTTTGCGGAAATGGGCCTGGATTCCTGTGAGGCAGAGAAGACTCCGTTGGACGCCAGAGGGAGGCCACTGGGTAAGGAGGAACTTGTCTTTCTTCTCATTCTGTGGATCTTGAAACTAATCTTTGGGTTCTGTTCATCTTTAGGGGGGGGAGGCACTTGGGGCCAAGAGCCCAAAGGAGGGCAGATGTATTTTGAAGAACACAAAATTGAAATGGGTACAATGTCAAAATGCACTCAACAAGCAAGACCTTTTCCATGGCACATCTATGGCACTTATCTCTAAGTGCTGAACCTCTAGTTACAGGTAGGTAGCCGTGTTGGTCTGCCGTGGTTGAAAAAGGAAAAAAATGAGCTTTCGTGTGCATGCAAACTACTTCAGATACACTGAAACAGGCTGCTGAAAGAGACTTCTGCTTCAGTGTATCTGAAGAAGTGTACATTCACACGAAAGCTCATACCAATAACAAACTTAGTTGGTCTCTAAGGTGCTACTGGAAGGAATTTTTTTATGCTGAACCTCTGAGAGACGCAGGACCTGATGGCTTGCCATTGACTTTTGTCTCTCGCAGGTGACAGACGGATGCCCCCCAGACCTCCTCATCCATCTTTTCATGAGAAAGAAGCAGCAGCTGTGGAAACAGATCTGGTATGGGGAAAGAGCTTTGTGGGGAAAGAGTCAGAGGAGTGGGGCAGCCAGGGAGCCTCTGGGCCGGAAAGAATTTCTCCTCCTCTTGGCTTCTGTCAAAGCCTCTGTCCTGAACAAAGATGGACAATGCCATTTGAAATGGTTTATGTTCTGAAAGGAATGAACAGCCACTTCACCTCAACTATCCTTCTGAATTTCTCTGTATTTATCAGTAGCTGCAGTCATATTTCTATATTGATCAAAAAAGGCTTCTAAGCAGTGGTCAGGATTAAGTAGCCCCATCAGCTGATGGGGATCCCCCCCCGTGCCCCCATGAGCTCCATGAAGTTGACTGTAGGGCACAGGGAGAGTCCCATAGTCCCCCAAGCAACACACAGCGGGAGCAGGGAAGGGATCATTCTGTCTGTCAAACAGGAATGCTTCCACAGACAGAATAATTTGAATTACAGGTAGGTAGCCGTGTTGGTCTGCCATAGTCAAAATAAAAAAAATCCTTCCAGTAGCACCTTAAAGACCAACTAAGTTAGTTCTTGGTATGAGCTTTCGTGTGCATGCACACTTCTTCAGATACACTGAAACAGAAGTTGCCAGATCCTTCTATATAGTGAGAAGGTGGGGAGGGGTATTACTCAGAAGGGTGGTGGGAATGGGAGATTGGCAGATAGCTGAGATGAGCCTGTTGACGACTCTTAACGACTGCAATAGGTCTTACAGGAAAAGGCAAGGGGTGAGAAGGTGAGAAATGGCTTAGTCATGTATCATGAGATAAAAATCCAATGTCTTTGTTCAGACCAGGTCTCTCCATGGTTTTGAGTTTGGTAATGAGTTGCAATTCAGCAGCTTCTCTTTCCAGTCTATATCTGAAATTCCTTTGTAGTAAAACAGCTACTTTGAGATCTTGTATAGAATGTCCTGGGAGACTGAAGTGTTCTCCTACTGGTTTCTCTGTTTTGTGATTTTTGTGATTAACGGACATAAATCTGACATCAAGAATCACCCCCCTGCGCAAGCTGGGCGACGGAAGTGGCGTGCATCCCTCCTGGCAAGCCTGGCGAGGTGAGGCGCTGCTCCTCAGGAGTTTCGGAGGCTCTCTGTAGCCCAATGGCCCCCCCTGCCTCCCTCCCCTGTTCCGATGGCAGTCCCCTGACACCCATCATTAAAATGCACAATAAAAGAAGACAATGAAAATGTTCAAGTAAGTGTCTGTAATTAGAATGTGCAGCAAAATAATCCCATTGAAACAACACAACAATGAATGGGCAGAAAACAACTCAGCAATGTGTAGTAGATAATCTTTATGCTGTCTAAGTGGAGGACCTTTTCCTTTTCCTTTTAGGGTCCTCTGTGTTTTAAAGATGTCGCTGTGTATTTCACAGAGGAGGAGTGGGCGTTGCTGGATCCTGACCAGAGAGCTCTGCATAAGGAAGTCATGGAGGAGAATCATAGGATTGTGGACTCTCTCAGTAAGGATTCCTGCTGGATCATAATCTTTTCTTCCTCCACATTTGCCTTTTAAAACCATGATCAGGCTGATCTCAGCTGCCCTTGAGAGCCAGTGTGGTGTAGTGGCTAAGAGCGGTAGTCTCGTAATCTGGGGAACCGGGTTCGTGTCTCCGCTCCTCCACTTGCAGCTGCTGGGTGACCTTGGGCCAGTCACACTTCTCTGAAGTCTCTCACCCCACTCACCTCACAGAGTGTTTGTTGTGGGGGAGGAAGGGAAAGGAGAATGTTAGCCGCTTTGAGACTCCTTAAAGGGAGTGAAAGACGGAATATCAAATCCAAACTCTTCTTTGCTTCCTGCTTGGCAGGGGGTTGGACTCGATGGCCCTTGTGGTCTATTCCAACTCTATGATTCTTCTTCTTTTTAAATGTAGACTTCATCATGGGGACAGAAGATGAACCTGCTTCTATCAGGTTTATTACTTTTTCTTCTGCAACTTATTGGTTTACCAAAGAGAAGACTGAACTTGCAAATGGTGCAGATTACATTGAGCCAAACAAAATCCATCCTGGAAAGTGCCAGGCCTTTTGAATCTTAGGTTTCCATCAATATGTCTCTCTCTTAATGCCAGTCAACAAAGGCATTCATTAACCCTGTAGTAAAACCGCAAATCTAACTCCCTTCTGTTATTTGTCTATCACAAGTGTTTATTAGCATTGTTTAATAAGTTGGGGCTCCATTTCTTCCTGAGACTCTAATCTTCCCTCATTTTTGCAGGTGGTGATGGATTGGAAGTTATGAACAAGGGAGACCACGACAAATTACACACAGTGGGGAAGTTGTATGAATATTTGGAATTTGGAGAGAGCATCAATCGCAGCTCCGATTCCACTTCCTATGAAATAAATCCCATTGGAAAGAATCACTATCAGTGCTTGGAATGTCAAAAGACTTTTAGTCGGAAGGGTAATCTCACTTCCCATCAAAGAATTCATACAGGAGAGAAACCATATCAGTGCTTGCAATGTGGAAAGAGCTTCAGACAAAGGACCCATCTCACTCGCCATCAAATAATTCATACAGGGGAGAAACCATATGAGTGCCTCGAATGTCGAAAGAGCTTCAGTCGGAGGTCCGATGTCATTTCCCATCGGAAAATTCACACAGCGGAGAAACCATATCAGTGCTTGGAATGTGGAAAAAGCTTCTCTCAGAGGGCTAAGCTCACTTACCATCACAGAATTCATACAGGGGAGAAACCATATCAGTGCTTGGAATGCGGAAAGAGCTTCTGTCAGAGGTCCTATCTCATTTCCCATCAGAAAATTCACACAGGGGAGAAACCATATCAGTGCTTGGAATGTGGAAAGAGCTACAATCACATCTCCAAACTTACTTGCCATCAAAGAACTCACAGCGGGGAGAAACCGTATCAGTGTTTGGAATGTGGAAAGAGTTTTACCCATAAGGAAAGTCTCACTTCCCATCAAAGAATTCATAGAGGGGAGAAACCATATCAGTGCTTGGAATGCGGAAAGAGCTTCCATAGGAGCTTCAATCTCACTTCCCATCGAAGAACACATAGCGGGGAGAAACCCCATCAGTGCTTGGAATGTGGAAAGAGCTTCAGTGTGAGGGCTCACCTCTTCGCCCATCAAGTAATTCATACAGGAGAGAAACCCTATAAGTGCTTGGAATGCGGAAAGAGATATGCCTGGATGTTAAATCTCACTTACCATCAAAGAATTCATATAGGGGGGAAACCATATCAGTGCTTGGAATGTGGGAAAAGCTTCAGTGAGAGGGCTAAGCTGGTAGCCCATCAAAGTATTCATACAGGAGAGAAACCATATCAGTGCTTGGAATGTGGGAAAAGCTTCAGTAGGAGATCTAATCTCACTTCCCATCAAAGAATTCATACAGGGGAGAAACCCTATAAGTGCTTGGAATGTGGAAAGAGTTTCAGGCAGAAAGCTCAGCTCATACCCCATCAAAGAATTCATACAGGGGAGAAACCATATCAGTGCATGGAATGTGGAAAGAACTTCAGACAGAGGGCCCAACTCACTTCCCATCTAAGTATTCATGAGGGGAAGAATCCACATCAATGCTTGGAATGTGGAAAGAGCTTCAATAGGAGGTCTCATCTCACCTGCCATCAAAGAACTCACAGCGGGGAGAAACCATATCAGTGCTTGGAATGTGGAGAGATTCATCTGGAAGGTAAGTCTCACTTCCCATCAGACAATTCATACAGGAGAGAAACCATATCAATGCTTGGAATGTGGAAAGAGATTCAGTAGGAAAGGAAGTCTCCCTTCCCATCAAAGAATTCATACAGGGGAGAAACCTTATCAGTGCTTGGAATGTGGAAAGAGCTTCAAATGGAAGAAACTTCTCACTTTCCATCAAAGAACTCACAGCAAGGAGAATCACAGTATTTGAAGATGGCCATCACATCTCTTAATCTCCTCTTTTCTAGGCAAAACATGCCCAATCCCCTCAAACTGGTTTATGCCCAGTATTTTCCTTTCTCTTCCCCGGCTCTGACCTTCAACAGGAAGGACTGGTGGTGAAGAGAGCACCTGTGCCCCACATCTCTTCAGCTTCCTCCCAGAGTCTCGCAGTCCCTTGATATACATTGTCCGTGTTAGTATTATTTGTACCCACGTGAATCAGAAGGAAGGAGTAGGGGTCAGTTGGCTTTAAAAGACATGGCAGCTTCTCTGTCACATTGTGAATCTGCAGACCGTCTGGGACATCCTCTTTTCTCCACACACTACTTCTTCTGCCCCCTCAGTAGGGAGTCACCTATCACGTCTCCTCCTCTGGGGAGTGGCAGGAATTGTTTGATATGCTGTACCTTCCAAGACCTCCTTGGAGTATTCTATGGTCTACAAGTGCTGTTCTGGAGTTCTTGTCTGCTGGAGTTGCCTAGTTCATTTCCTTGGAAGATAGCAAGTGGGTTATCAGCATACTCATCCATGATCAGTAGCCGCGGATCTGAAGGAGTTAGGTCAAGAATGAATAGGACTCCTCTAATAATACTAATACTAATAATACTAATAATGACAATTTATTATTTTACCCTGCCCCAGCCACTCTGAGCAGCTTCCAACAAAAGAGTAAAAATACATTATAACATCAATCATTAAAAACTTCCCTAAACAGGGAAGTCCATCTCCTCTTGTCTCTTCCACCTCTGGGGGGTGGCCGAAATCATTCTGGGCTCTGCACCTTTCACAGCCACCTTGGTGTATTCTCAGGTCGGCAACTGCTCTCCTAGCTCCTCTGGCCCAGAACTGGTGTCCAAGGTGAGAGCGTGGAAGCCATTCTCCAGCTCCAGTGACAAAGCGTGGTTCGTGACTGTCCTACCTCTGTGTTTCACATTCCTCCAGGGGTTGGTCTTTTGCAGTGGGCGATCTTCCTCCAGCCTGGGGCCACCCCATCTGTGTTGCTGTTGCATGACAGTCAACCCAGCTCTATCCAGAAACTCGGCATGTTGTCCTGTAGCTCAAAGCATGGCTAGGAAGGCCTCAAGTTGCTGTAGCTTCTCTTCCAGCAAGACAACCAGTTTGCACTTGCTGCAGGTATACAACTGTATGTTCTCCGGCAGAAAGACAAGCATGGCACAGGGGTTGCAGGTCACTGCAGCCGCTCCCTCGCCCTGCATGTCTCTTGGTCCTATGCACGCCAGGGGACAATACTCTGGGCCTCCCCCTTAAATGCCCTCGCAAATGCCTATGTTTGGGAGGCCTCTTCGTGAGCTCCCAGAAGCTGCAAGGAGCCAAGTTTGACTGCTGCTGGTTGCTAACTCCTTCCTCTGCTCATTCCTCCCAGGAGCCACACCCTCAGGCCTGCAACCAACCAAGCCTCTAGCACAGTGGTTCCCTATTAGCTAATTAGCCCCCAAAAAGCAACAGATTTTAGATATGCTATAAAAGAATACCGTAAAAATTGTGATATTGCCACAAATTGCCTATCCCCAGACAGTAGGAAAAACCTGTCTCCATTGCTGCACTACAACTGAATCTTTTTAAAAAAGCAATTGTGTCTCTAACTTGCAAGTGTTGAAAAGAAGGTATCACAATGTTGAAAAGAAAGTATCGCTCAGCCCTAACACTAAACTAAATCATCAGATGGTGAGCTATTCTGCTAATCATCATCGCTATTTGCATAGCTATTTTGCCTGTTGGGCTTCCAAGAGGCAATACTTGCCAGGACCAACTGTTTTCACATATAAGGACCTGAGAACAGGCTGGGAAGCCTCCTTCATGCTGCTTCTTATACAAAGGAAAATAGGTCAGACTCCAAACCCTGACCCTGACCCTAACTGGACTTGCTCTTATTCCCTTGGCTCTGTGATTTATTTAAAGGTCTTCCCTCTGCTGGGTATCAGCCAAGTGGTGTAGAAGTAAATCCTTGCCACAATTCACTGGAAAGCTAAATCTGCGACTCCCTTGGAATAATAGGGAGAAGATAGGACTACTCTTGCAATATATGAACAGATTGCTTTTAGACGTAGATTGTGTACGGACAAATAGAATGGTGTTTGGAATGCATTGCTATAAAGCACAGTGACTTGCTCATAGTTTTCTTCTATATTGCAAAGTATCAGTTTCAAGCAGTTTGCTTTGTTCTGTTTTGACCTTTCTCTGACTTTTTACACTTCATTTCTCTTCCCAAAATGTTCAGTAAAACATAAATATTAAAAAGAGAGAAGTTGGGTGGTGTATTTCTTTCTGGTTTTTTACCCCGTGGGGAGATCCATAAAAGAAAAAAATGTCCCCCATTTATTTCTAATTGTGCAAAATTGTCCAAATGTGGGCACGGAAGGCTTTTCTTGCCATTTATTTACATGGAAGCAAAACCTTTTTTTAATTTCTTTCCCTTCTGGGGCTGTTGCTAAAAAAGTGAGTCATCAAAGGTGGTAACAAGAATATGGAGAATATATATATATATATATATACATACACACACACACACACACACACACACAC